TTGAAAAAAGAGACCTTTGTAAGATATATTGAATATCTTCTAGTAGTTATAAGTGGGTACTAATTGATAATCGATATATATTACAAGAAATATATAAATAAAACAAAGTCTTCCTTTTCATTTTGTAAATTTTTCAAAAAACAAAATAATATTGTTGATAAACAATGAAATTTAGTTTGAATTGAAACTTAAACTCAAATTTGCAAGGAATAGAGAATAAAAATAGAATATTCATGAAGTAAAAAAGGGAAACTATGACGATGAACCCAGTTATGAGTTAAGACTAAATATAAAATTAACTTTCTTGAAAATTATTACCTTATTCCTAATTTGATTTTAATATACCTAGTAAATTCATACAAATTGACGTAATATACGTCAAAAATTTCTTATGAGTCAAAGTGAAAACTAAATGGTAAAATTTAGGGACAGTCTGTATTAACTGCAAGCAAATAAGAAAACAATTTGTTGAGAGACTTTTTGTTTTTTGATAATTTTATTTTTTACAAATGTGTAGTGAAAGTTCCGTTTTTTTTGTGTTTTATTGAATAATGAATAAATTAATTAATTACTTAATTGTAGCCGAGGTAACGATAAAGGTTTTTTTTAATGTTAAAAATTGTTTTTAGATTTAAAGTGTTTTTTAATTGGTTTTGTTTATTTATTTTTGTTATTTACTTTTTTAATGTTTTGTAAAAATTTAATTCATAAGTTTGGTTTACGAATGAAGAACTCTCATGTATAAATACTCGTTAAATATTTTGTAAACTAAACAAAAGTATAAGTTATATTTTTTTTCAAAATTTATCAAATTGTAAATCTTGATTATGGAATTGTAAAAAAATCCTTTGAGAACTTGTTAACCTGAAAGTAATTTGAATTTGAATTCTTTATTTCTAACTTTGCAAAAATATCAAAGTCCATTTAGAATTTTCTAATTATATTTTGATGTGGAAAGTAGCTTAATAGTTTTTTATTTTGAATTCTGTGGCCTTGAACTCGAAAACCCTGATGACTTAGTTACGGAGCACTAACTCTAAAATTTTTTTTTTAAATTATAGATTTTCCCTAGTAGAAATAGTGTAACGGCGTTATATGTTTGTTTACTCTTATGTTTACTTTTCTGTAAAATAATATATTATGGTGTTGTTGCTATAAATGCTATTCATACATGTTTCCGGGCTAAATGTTATTGTAAAACATATAAAAAACGTGGATTAAAAATTACAAAAGACTCCAGGGAGAAACTCTTGAGCTCAAAGTATTTAATAAATGTTTTTACTTTGAATTCAATTTTCAAATTAATAAAAATTTATTAAATACTTAAAGAAATTTTCTTTTAAAGATAAATGGTTTTATAAAATTCATTAACTTTGCGTTTAAGTACAATGTCTTGTAAATTGTTAGGTATTGGTGCTCGATTGAATATAAAAATTGATTTAAAATTAAGCAAATTAAGACAATTAAGCTTAATTCAAAATTCGTTTACAATCTTAACATTTACTTCGCTCAAGAGAAAATTTCGATTTATTGACTCATTGCTCTCTTATAAATTTATGCTTTACATTCCACGTTCTTTGATAACATGAATTTGATTATTGAAATTTTTGCAAAAATTTTTAAAACTAAATTTATAAATTCTAAAAATTGTTATTAATTTTTTATTTCTTTTTTTATAAAATTTCAGATGCGAAACGGATTTCCTCCTTCTATATATCATTAATTATTCAATACTCAGAACTTGATTGTTAGAAGTTTATTGGATTGCATGAAGGAAAGAATAAAATTACTATTGAGGAAATTCTTAAAAAGCATTAATGTATAACTATATAAACATCACAATTATCATATATATTACATACATATGTGCATACATAAGTGGGTACTAATTGATAATCGATATATATTACAAGAAATATATAAATAAAACAAAGTCTTCCTTTTCATTTTGTAAATTTTTCAAAAAACAAAATAATATTGTTGATCGTTTGAATACGAAGCTTAAATTTATCTCCGAATATATTTATTTTCATTCAAAATTAAATTGAAAAATAAAAGCCGGTTGGTAACAGGATAACGAAAATTTGAATTGTTATTACAGAAAGAAAGAGAAAGAAGACTAAAAAAAACAAGTATTATACATATAGTAATGCTATTATAATAATCAATTTTAAACCAGTCGCTTCAAATAAATTGAAACGATAAGCATATAAGTTTTTGAAAACAAAAATAACGTGTCATTTAAAGAGTAATTCCGTATGTCGAAGAATTATATCGAATGAAAATACGACAGTGATAAAGAAAGAAAGAAAGAAAGGGAGTGAAAAGAAAAACAAAACAAAAAATGTAATTTAAATGCTCATATTTTCTTTGTTTTGCTTTATTTTTATTTTTTGCACAACTAACAAAACAACTGCCTATAAGAGGACAATAACATTTGCATCAGGATAAAAGTGGAATATCAGTATAACACTTGATTATAAGAGAATATTGAAGTAAAGAAATTGTTATAAACAAAGTTTGATAAAAACATATTAAAGCAAAAAATTAAAAATTTTTTTAATTATTGTTTGTTGTTAAAATGATGTTTGTATTTTACAGTTAAAATATTGTTATACACTCTTAAATTAAATACTGTTATATACATTTTAAATATATTTGTGTTGTATGTTAATCGCTGGAGCTTTTGTTAACTTTATTATTTCTTTCTTTTTTACAATATTTTTTATTATTTTTATTTAATTTTAATCCAATACCAATATTTTATTCAAGTAATTCAATTTTTCTTGTGTTCAAAGAGCACAAGTCTCTTAATATTTTCTTGTTGTTTTTTTTATTTTTTTTTTTTATTTTTTTTACTTTTTACATTATTTTCCTATATATTATAGCGAAAATAGTATAACAGAAGAAATTAAAAAAAAAGACAATTAATTCAAAATAAATTAAAAAATAAAACAGAAAATAATAACAAGTGCATTGCACTTCTTGTCTTATATTTTGTCACAACCAAGAGCAGTTAAAGGCAAATTATATCGACAAGAAAAAACCAAATTAAAGCTAAAATGGTGACATTTATTCAAAATCATCAATACAAACTTAAAGTAGACGGGATTTTGGTTTGATTTTTGATCAATAAGAAATAAGAAACCGTTGCAGTGACAATATATAGTGGCGAAAATATTAACATCAACACTTGAATGAAACTAAATGATAACAGTTATTACCTTACAGTTTTAATTCGATAATCGATAATGAAGTGTACAATATTTTAACGAAAAAAGTGATACAGTTACTGAAGTTTGACAACAATGACAACATTGAAATTTCATAGTTAAGAAATATAAAAATAAATTTACAGTTTCATTTTTGTTGTTGCTTTTTTTTTTATAAAATTGAGTGCATTATGCAGAAAATAACGTTTGTTTTTTTTTCTCTTTTTAATTTTCATTTTTAACATTTATTATTAAAAAAGTTAAAAACGCACTTAAGTGTGGAAGGTGGATACGTTTTGTTACCGTTTTACTAATAAAAAACAAAAAAAAAACAAAAGAGATTATAACGAAAAAGTGAAATTTTCATGGTTTGATTTTTTTAAAACGAAAAAAAAAAACAGTTTTTCCAATTTTTTTTCTTTTACTTTAAAAATTTTATTATTGCTATCTCTTTTTAGTTTTCGTGTTAAGATAAAAATAAAAAAGTTGTTTACGTTTTTTCATCTTTATACAATAAAAAAAAAACTAAATTGTGTATGTGAGTGTGGTGTCCCAAGAAAATTAAAAATTTTTAAAATAATCACAAGGCATAAAAAGAAATTAATAAAGAAGAGAGGAGAGAGAAGAAAGAAAAATTCGAAGAGTAAAATTTTGTTTTTTTTTGAACTGGATTGAATTTTATGTTTTTCTTTACAAATTGCATGAACTTTGTATGTGTACACATATAGATGTAATACAATAAATTACGTACATATATGTATGTATATATTTTCATTTAATTTATGACTCACAAATATAATATTATTAATATACCGTTATTACAAATATATACATATGTGTGCTTATAAAATGAAATACAATAATTTTTAAGTTGTATAAAAGAAAAGACCAGTGTAATCATTTAATTATATATGTGTATATGTAAATATGTATGATATATTTAATGTATTTTAATATTTTGTGCATGAAAATGAATACTTTTCTAAAACAGAAATAATACGTAGAAAGGAATATTTTATATGTATGATTAATCTTAATAAAAAGTTATAATAATAATAAATAATAAATAGTAACAATAAAAATAAAAGTAAATAAAAAAAATTTACGAATCGTAATTCTCTTGAACTTATACTTCACGCGAGATATCTTAACCTGGTACTAAAATTTTTTCGACTTTTTCTATAACAGTTACCAGTAGAAACAAAAACAATAAGTCAAGTAAAAATAAATAAATATGTATATTTTTGTATATATACAATAATTTTAAAAAATATAAATTTATTATACGAAACGGACAATAAGAAATTAGTATCTATATTATCAACATATTTAAAAATATATTATTAAAATGGTAGAGAGAATAATAATGAAACAGATGTAGTGAACTTGAAAACCGGTATGAACTTATGCTCATAATAATTAACAACAGGAAAATTTATTAAACTGGGAAATTGTTAATTATTAATATAATAATTAGGAATTAATTAGGAACGAAAAAAATATCATTTTTTTATGCTTCATTTTATATTCCTTCCCAATTGCAATTAAAAAACTGTTTTATTACGTAACTTTTGAACACAATTTTTAAATATATTGTAAAACAATCAATAACAAAAATAATTTAAAAATTAAAAATAATTTTGGAAATGTGTTGAATTTCATTTCTAATTAATCTAAAATAATTGCTTCATTTCCAATTTAAAAAGAAAATAATTTCATTGAAATTAAAAAAATAATATTATAAATTGAATAAAATCATAAAAATAAAAAATACTTTGTACAAAAATAATGTTAGGACATAATCAATGGCGATTTTTTACTATTATAGCTGGATTATTATTAGCGAATGCAATTGATACTCCAGCAAAACATCATCAAAATTCTAATCATCCAATAAGATATACATTATACACAACACAATTACCTTATTTAAAATCACCTGCATCATATACAATAGCAAAATTTACAAATAGAGATTTAAGAAAAATTCCATCATCAACATCGTCTATTGTAAAATATCAGCAGCAACAGAAACAATTACAATATCAGCATCATCAACAGTTTCAAAATCATTACCAAAAGCCAATAATTCCACAACAACAACAACAAATACAAAATAAATCGTATAAATTACAAAAACAATTACAACCACAACGTGGATTATCTAGTCTTAATCTTGAAAGGCGAAATATTTATGTAGCATCGTCATCACCACCTTCGTCATTAGATTTACATCAACGTTTTATTCCAAAAAAAAATCTTATTAACGATAAAAAATATTTTAATATACAAAAGCGTTTTTATGATGTAAGAGCATTAAAACCCTCATTCTCATATAATCCAATATATCATAAAAATAGAAATAATTTTAAAAGTAATCGTAGATCAGATGATCATCAAACAACAACTATCAATAATATTAATGAAAATCTAGCTAGAACACCATCTTATGATAATTTAACAATTGATAATCAATTATTACAACAATTTAATAATGATCTAATAGAACAAACAACTACTACTTTACCAAATAATCAATTAGAATTAAATTTACAAAATCCGCAAAATTTACAACAACCAATCGCTGAAAAATTAATTCAATATCCTCAAAAATTTCATTCATTTTTGCAAGAACAAAAAATTGAAAGTACAACACCTTATGCACAACAATATATTTATATTGCACAAGTTATTGAACCAACAAGTCCTGGACCAATTAATAATCGCAAAAATAATTCTGATAATCAATCTATACAACAACCAAACCAAGCAGAACAAAATCAACAATTTCAACAGCAGCAACGAAGTAATGTACATCATTTGAAGTTAAAAAATACTAACATTCGAAATAAATTGAATAATTCGAATGAATTTTCAAATTTGAATTTAAATCAACAACAATTACTTGATCCAGATCAGCGTAATAGCCGTGATACCCAGGAAGAAGAATCAAACTTATCTGGACGTCGTATTGGTTTTCAATTTCCGCTACAAATTAGTAGTTATGATTCACCGTTTCTAAGTTTCCCAGATCCAACAATTTTTCGAAATGGACCACCAATAGCACAGTTCAGTGATAATAATAATAATGGCGGCAGCGGCGGGGTTGGTAATGGAGAATTATTAACAGCCACAACTGTTGGTGTTCCAATAACATTTCCATCTGGATTTGATATAGATAATAGGTTTCCGAGACAATTAATATTTGATGATACAACTGGTACATTACCAGGAAATATTCAAGTTGAATTTCCGGGATCGGTAGTAGCAAATAAAGCTCATAGTAATAATGGTAAAATTTTCCGCGATGAATTAACAAAATTCATTGATTTAAATGGACCATTAGGACAGCGCGGGCCGAATCGAGGATTATTTTTTACAGATGATTTTCGGTCTGGTGGTCCAGGTCGACCATTTTTACCGGCACCACAAAAAATGTATGTTGAATATAATGATTTCCCAGGTCAATTGAAAACTTCTAGAGGTATTCCATTTAAATCATCAAGAACACCAAGAGTTGTATTTCCAGCAAGTGATAATGTCGGAGGCAGTGGAAGTGGTGTATATTCAAGTGACACAGTAGCTTTCAGGTATACTTGTTTTTTTTTCAAAACATTTTCTTTTCAATAATTTCAATTTTTAATCGAAATTTCCATTTTATAAAATTTTAGGGATCAAAATTTTGGTTTAAATGAATTATCAGCTATTCAAGATGTACGAAATGAATTTACTTTGCAAGACATTAATAACGATAATCCTAGTTCAGCCAAACCAGATAGCTCTAGTTCATTCAACGAAAAAGGTATTAGAAAAATCTCTTTTTGCAGAAATATCATAAGATTTTAATGGAACTGTAGGTACTAAAATTGCTTAAATACTATATCGCCTATCAGTAAAGATAACATTTTCATTGGTTATTTAATTACATGCTATTTCCCCTTTTTTTTTAATATTGATGAAATAGTTAATGTTGTTAACACTCTCAATTCTTAGCTTTACTTAACTACTATTATGCTCATGCTCGGGGTTTATTCAATATAGATTCCTATTACTTTTTCAAAAACTCTTTGAATAAAATTAAAGTTTTATATTTTCCAAGATTCACACAACACTAGTATGTTATGAAATACTAGTATATGATCTACATTTTTGGAACTTTCAAGGTGTGACTTTATCTGTGCAGGATCTGTCAATCACTTGTAACTTGTTTTAAATTATGTAATTTAGTGCATATATTATAAGCATTGATAATCCTTTCTCATTTAGCTCCACTTACAAAATTCTGTGATCAAAAGTAATTCTGTTAAAGAATTTATAATTTTCCGAAAAACCAATAAATTAAAAATTTTTCAAATAAGAGAGAAACCTTTCCTGAATTAGTAAAAGAAGTTCTTCTTTACGCTAAAATATTTCGTATGCAAAGTGTCCAGATTTTGTCTAAATCCATATTCCTAGATTAAGGAAGTTGTAGTTTTTTTAAATATTCTTTTTTTCAATCTAAAATGATAGAAACTTTTTCAGATCAATAGTCAGATAATCGTCATCCATAACGGACAGTTTTCGTAGAATTTTTATATTTGTATGCTCTCGTTCCTATTTCTTTTCAAAATTCAAATGATCAACCTTTGATTGTATCATCCGTTTCATATAAATATATGAAAGCTATAGATTAAAATCTGCTAATTCCCAGCTTACTTGATCGTTTTACTTAATTCCTCAAAAGCACCGATCTCTTAGTTAGTGGTCTCTTCGTTTGGCCGATCAGGGATTTTTCACAATTGTTACATTTTATTTTGTATCACCGTATGCGTTCTCTTTTTTGAATTTGTGTTTGGTAGAGATTAATAAGTTTCTCAATTGATATTTGATGAAAGTCTTAGATGATCGCACGTGTAATATTAAATAGATTGAACGATAACCAAAAGTAAAGATACAGATGTTATTCGTTATGCGTCGAGTGAAAAGGTTGCTTTTCTGTTCCAGCCATCATCTGTTCTTTTTGTTGATATATTGATGATACAGTCCATCGAATCTCCAGCTCATTTAAAGAAGCTGAATAAAAAATAATCATACTGAAAAAATTAAACGATTTAGCAATTTAAAGAGTATAGACCATTCAAAATTACTAAAGAAACTAGGAGGATTTACTACAAATAAACGAAACTAGAATTAAAATAAGAGAAAAACAATTATAATGACAGAAATATGAAAGCAAATAGATCAGACGGAAGAATATATGGTAGTACAGTTAACAGGAAAAGCAAATGTTATACAAAATAATTCTCAAAATATTGTATAGTCAACTGATTATAGCAATAGTATTTTTATTTCTGTGCGAAAGCAAACATCATTGTATTGTTATATTCAATTGTATAAATGAAAACGCCATGTGGCTTCAGTAAAGTTAAAAAATTTGCATTTATTGATCAATTGAGTTTTCCAGCATTGCATAAATTAAAACGAAAAGGGTATAATGCCACGTTTGATAAAATTACTAAATTTCAAAAATATTAGTGCGCTGTACTGAGAATCGGATCTGAAAATTTTAGTTACCCAATTGCACCTAAAATAATTATCGGTTTGGAAAGCCTTCGTGCTTATTCGAAAGGTTGAAATATTTTTTTACACAAAATTTGACATCTTTGAGATAACCTAGTCCATTTCGTGTACACATTTGTACTTAGTTTTTTAAAATTCTCCCTTTAATCCAAAAAATTACTAACAAAATTAGCAGTAGCTTAATTTTCTGCTTTAATAAAATGCAAAACAAAAGTTGTACAGTAATTTTATTTTAAATCTGTAAATGTAATTTTCTTATATAATAAATATACCTACACAAATATATAGGTGATATAACAACGGAACTTCAATGCCAGCATCAAGGTGGAACTTGTGAGTTCTTCCTAGTATGTTGGATGTCTACTGGTTTAATAAGAGGAACATGTGGGGGCATCCTACAAGGATGCTGTCATCGTACTGCCAAATCATCAAATTTGGGAACATCTGATTATGTGAATGCAGTTGACTTAACAGATCTACCGCACAAAACTTATGGACCAACTATTAATGATGCTAGTGAGTTGAGTTTTATAGAGGGGAAGGAAAAGAAAGGGAAAAACAAATAAAATGAAAATTTCTAATGCAAAATCTTAAGCTTTTAGTTTTATTTCTTGTTCTTATTCAGGTGTTTAAAAGGATAAACGCACATTATGTTAAAAGAAAAAAAATAATGCATATAGTTTTGAAGGGGAGCAAACAGTTAACTAAAGAGAAAGACATTTGTAAACAAAAAGTGTTGGGAAGCTTGCATGCAAAAATTTTGTTTTTTCTTTTTTATAAAGTTGTTCAATCAGTTCACAATATTTCATTAATGTTTTTATTTATTTAGTGAATATTTTATAATAGTAATGTTTTTTTGATTAAAATCATAGTATATTAACTATTTTTTTGTTATCTAACCACACAAACACACACGTTTACATTGTAAATTAATTTGAACGCAATGTACGATGCGTTTGATTAACCCTTCAAAATATCAAAAGCTTGCGTTAATCGCTTTTGCATGCACACTTTCTAACACTTATATGCGAGATCAATAATTTTATTTTTGTTTTTATAGGATTAAAAGTAGACATTTCTTTTATTTCATATCATATTACTTGTTATATAAATGTGTGAAAGATCTGTTGGGTCGCTGTCTATTTGTGTAAATTATATGCTTTGTATATTTTAATAATGTTACTAACATAAGTAAATTTTTAACAAGTGCTTTAAAATGTATAACTAATGTTTTGTTCTTTTATTAAATTTTTATTTACATAAACGTGCATATACCCCCTTAGTCAAAAATACAAAATTATCATTCAATTATGTTCTTTATTCAGCAACTGACTCTGCGTCTGCTGATTAACACAAATTAGTAATAATTTTGAATTTACGATACAGGGCACTTTTAAATTTACGTGCCGATAAAGCAATATATAAATAATTAATATTTAAATTTTAGGCTGCGGAATATCATTAGCAAAGCAAACAGCTCAAAGAAGGATTGTTGGAGGAGATGATGCAGGATTTGGTAATTTTCCATGGCAAGCATACATTAGAATTGGCTCTTCAAGGTAATATTATGATAACAATAGTTCGTTGATGTTCATTGAAAGCTAATGGAGTTTATTTGTTTTACTATAACTAGGTCTTATTTAAAATTTAAATTCAACCATTGTAAACCTTAGACAATTTTCTCAGTTTTATCTTTAATGAAAAAATACTTGTTTTTTTGTCACAATAAATTCTTTTGCACAGTTGATTTTTATATTTTTATATTGAAACTTGAAAGTAGGATATGCAAACTTTTGGAACAAAAAAAATCAAAAAAATCCATCAAAATAAGAAAAACCTTGCATATTTTTGGGAGAAAATACAAACCAATTTTATTCCCAATAATACTCTGTAGATTTTGTCTTTAAAAAACTTTAAAATTGTGATAAAAATTAAAATAATTTTATTATTTTTTTAAACCTAAATTTGTTTGTGAAAATTAATTAATTTTATTCCTAACAATTTACTTTAAGTATAATTAAGGTGTTATTTTTAACAAAGCTAAATAGTTACGATGATAATAATTCGATAAGTCTAGGACGCTTTTTAAGTAAAAAATCCCTATACTTTTAAAATTATTTTTTTAATAAAGCTCCCAATCTAAAATTTATAAATTAGTAACTGCATGCAAAACTGCGTTTCATTTACAAATTGCTCCCAAATACTTTACAAATTTTTGTTACGAGACAAGAAAGCTGTGGTCAAAGCTAGACTTGCTTCTCAAAATATTTGATATCTTTCCGATGTGAGGATATTGGTGCATTAATGGGGTTTCTAACAAGGCACTATCTGACTGGCGAACAAGCCAGGAGGGTTAGCCACCTCGCAAGCAATCACTGTAGAGGCTGCTGCGATGAAGGAAAAGAGAAAATGCTATGCTCATGTCTAACTGGCGAAGCGCTGGCGAACTCTAGGTAGATATTCTTTGGGCCTTATTAGCGAACGTAAATGCTAGAGACCTTAGTCGGTTTTTAAGAAATTCCGGGGAGATTCTAAAGCCAACCGGATTTGGTTGGTTCCGAATATTTTGCACTAAGCTCTTTAAGTGTTTTCGTACTAATTTCAGGAACTAAATTGAATACGATATTGAGCATGTAAAGAGGTTTTATTTAAATTTAAAAAATTTTTTTTAATAAGCTTTTATTTAAAATATTCAGACTAAGAATAGAAACAGGATGTTTAGAATTTAAGCAGTTATTTAAATTATAACATTGGTTTTTTATGAAGAAATTATTTGTATTTAATAAATAATGTACACATTTTGTGTTTGGATCTCATAAAAATGGATTATTATATTTCTCTTATTTTTACATTTTAGGTGTGGAGGATCACTTGTATCTAGGAAACATGTTGTTACAGCAGGGCATTGCGTTGCACGCGCCTCACCACGCCAGGTTCATGTAACGCTTGGTGACTATGTTATTAATTCGGCTGTAGAACCGCTGCCAGCTTATACATTTGGTGTTCGTCGAATTGATGTTCATCCATACTTTAAATTTACTCCTCAAGCCGATCGTTTTGATATATCCGTATTAACTTTAGAACGACCAGTTCATTTTATGCCACACATTGGTATAAACTATTTTTATTTTTTTATATTGTTGTATTTTGCTCTTAGCTTCTTGTATATTTGTTGAAGTTTTTAAAAAAATTTTATTTTAAAAAATTATACAGCTCCACTATGTTTACCTGAAAAAAATGAAGATTTTCTTGGTAAATTTGGTTGGTCAGCCGGATGGGGTGCTTTGAACCCTGGTTCAAGATTGCGACCAAAAACGTTACAAGCTGTGGACGTTCCAGTTATAGAGAATCGGTTAGAAAAATAAAAACCAAAACTTTATAAAATATTAAAAATTTTATTCCTAATGCACAACAAATTTTTGAAAGCAAAGTTTTTTTTTGTAGATTTAACAAAAACCATATTAATTAAAGTATAAAATTTAATATTTAAAAAAGTTTAATATGTTTAGATTTTGCTTTAAAAAGAACAAGTTGAAATTTTAGTTGATACAAGGACTTTTAAATTTTTTATTAAAATTTAGTTTCATACAAAATTTTATTAAAATATTATTTTAGAGTTTGTGAAAGGTGGCATAGATCCAATGGAATAAATGTTGTAATTTATCCTGAAATGATGTGTGCAGGTTATCGAAATGGTGGTAAAGACTCTTGTCAAGGTGATTCTGGTGGACCATTAATGCATGAAAAAAATGGTAGATGGTATTTGATAGGTAATTAGATATGTTTGATTTAATGATTGGTCTTTATTAATTTTTATTTTGATATTTAGGAGTTGTCTCAGCCGGTTATTCTTGTGCTTCAAGAGGACAACCTGGCATTTATCATCGAGTTCCCTATACTGTAGATTGGATTTCTTATGTTATTGGCCTTACATCATAGTAAAAGCAGAAATTAAATTTCTAATATTTTAAAGTTAAGACTTAACCATTAAACCAATTCGAAAAAAAAGAAACTAATGCAGGAAAGCACAAAATTATTTTCCGTTATTAAAACGAAATGTTATTCTTCTATTGTATTCAAATTAATTATTAATTTTAATTATTTATTATACGTTTTATTTATTAGACTTTTTTGTATTCAAAATTTCTATATTAATTTAAAAAATTTTCCAAATACAAATCTATTTAAATTTAGTACTAAAACAATGTGAAGTTTGAGAAAATTTACGGACGTATTGGGGACGGCAATCTTTATGTTTTAATAGTGTTACTTCTATATTGAAAATTATTCATTTTAAAGCTAGAGGATGGTGCGAATATGAATTTTGCTTGAATTTCTCAAATTTTAAATTTTTATTAGTTCCTTAATTTACTTTCAAATGCATTAAAACCCATCTCATCTTTCTACTATAATCAGTTCGCGAATTGTTCAATTTCTTGAATTAATTACTTGAATTGTGAAGGAATTTCTGGAAGCAACAAAGAAATTAAAGAACATACTAATTGTGCAGTTTTGTGCAATAAAACCTGCCAGCAAGTAAAATGAACAGATTTTGTTTAACAATTTATATAAAACTATTTTCATAGATTTTCTGTTATAATTTTTCAAATTCTGTTCCCAATGACATTTTCATGTTTTCCGTATTTTTACCACTAATCTAATATTGAAGTACTAAATTTAAACAAAAAAAATTTATAAATTAAGCATTAAATAAAAAATCGAAAAATCGAAAAAAAAAGTAAATGTAATATAAAAATTAAATAATTATGTGATATTTTTTAAGAGTAAACATTAAAAAACTTTTTAATAAAAAAAAAACTTAATTTAACAAAAAGAAAGTCAGAATTTTTTACAACTACTGTTAGACCAGATATATAATTAATTGTAGGCGTACATTTATACTTGCAAGCCAAATCGTTTTAAGTGATAAATCTCAATTATCCTAATTACTGTAAAAGATTAAGGCCTAAATCTCACAGAAATCAGGAATTGATCAATTAACCGAACTCTCAAGTTAAAGAACTGAAATCAATCAGTTGATGTTTATTATAATTTTATTATAATAGCGACTTATTCCAATCCAGGTTTACGGCTTGAGATCCTGACTTAAAACATTATTTTAATGAAAAAAATTCTGATTTTAGTGAAACACTATATTTTCGTATGCTCATTTTTAATGTAAAAGTAACTTTAATCGTTAGAGCAGAAAGTTATTACTAATTTTTAGCAATTACTAATTTTTATACAATAAGTAGGTGTAAATATTCTTGAAACGATGTTTTTTGTTTGTTAATAATTTTTTTTATATTTTTGTTTTTTTTTTTAGTACATTGTTTTATCTCAGATCTTTTAAGAAAATCAATTACTACCTATAAATCATAATTAATTATAATTTAATTAAAAATGTAATTACTTAGTTTAATTTTACAAATATTTTAAGCGAAATAGTAAAATTTCTCTTGCATATTATTTGAAAACTGGTAAATAAAAGATTTGTGTAAATAAAAAAAAAAAATGTTTGTTATTTAGTTTGTCCTCTGACAAATGAATTGCAAAGAATAATTTGAATAAAAATTCTTTAAATAAACTATGAGCTATAAGAAACAAAAAATTAATTCAATCACACATAAAGAATATTTTGCTGGCACTTCCAGTATGGCAAATGGCAATTTCCAATAAAATCATTTTAATGTCAAGATTTTGAAAGTCTTAGGACAAAGTATAAACTCAAACAATTCTAGCTGCCTTGAAATAATTGTTCTAAAAAGCAAGGTACTTAAAGAACCAAAAAATGTCAACTTCCTTTTCGTTAAGTCAATTCCTTGTTCTGAAATATGTGTAAAGCTTTCTTTCACTGAGATGATTTTTCACGTTAAATTTTTACTATAATTCGGAAAAGTTTGCTAATTTTGAGAGGTGGTAATTTTGAAGGGAATTAATTATTTTTTAAATGTCAAAAAGTAAGTATAGAAAATGGAATGAATTCCGGAGCCTTGAAGTCTATACGTTTCGAAATTGTGCTTTTGATTTAGCATTTAAGTGGATCTATTGGTAAATGAGGTTATGTGTTAAATGCTCAAGGTTTTTAAGTTTATCAAACACATAAACATGTTGTTAGTTTTCATTTCCAAAATGACTAAAAATGTAAGTTTACGAGTTGTTGACGATTATTTTCTTTAATGTTTTTATAAATTTCTTATGCAATTACTTAACTACCTCATAAAATTCTAAGGAAATAAAACTTGTTTTTATTGCATTTTAATTGAAGATGAAAAAAATTTTATTCAATTTTATATGAAATAAGTAAATTTATGTTGTACACGCTTGCCCAATTTTTTCTATTCAAATTATGAAATTAATGAAAAATTAAAATCGTGCCTTTTACATTATTGATTCACTGTTGTGAATTTTTTGAACATTAGTTTAAAATTCATTCAAGTTAAATCTCCCAGCTCCCACAATTTCAGTGGATTTTCAAATGATGCATGCCTTTACAGTACAAATTACAACATAAAATATGTGCCTTTTAGCATACAAAGAGAAAAAATTTTTTTTTCACATTTTTTAAAAAATATTTTCAATTTTTTTCTCATATTATGAATGAATGTATAGGATTAAAGGTATACAATGAAAATCTAATGGGAAAATATTACACAATTTTTGAATTTAAAAAAAATTTAACAAGAAATAAAAAAAAATATTATTGTGCTTTTCGTTTTTTTCTTTAAATTTTGATTGGCTTAAAATTTCGGAGGTGCAAATGTTCGTACAATGATCTGGCTCTCACTTATTACTCTTATTTTCAAACTTATATTTGTAAATATTTTCATATATTCGTTTAAGATTACCATTTTCATCTAGTTTTAATGGTTAACGGAGCAATATCAGGCAATGGGAAATTTGTATATAGAATGGTAAGATGACAAGAAAATGGTATCTTTTTGTTCAAACAAAGAACTTTAAAGTACGTGAAAAATAAAAAATGAAAGAAAATAGTACGAAGGAAGAAAAAGAAAAACAAAACAGACAATATTTAAAAATTTTATTACTAGTTTTCGAAACGGATCCCGTGTAACAGAACTGAAATTGTATTGGTTTTAAATTTCAATATCGCAATAATATGGAATAATGACTATTCGCTTGACCATTTTCTAAAGTACAATGATTGTAAGTTTACTTTTGGTCACTTGCATTCCATGTTATGAATTTCTCGTTCTCGAGGAAAAGATTCAAGATTCGAGATACAAATTTCTCGATAGTTTTCCTTCTTTATAAGTCAAAATAATGTGTTCAACCACTTGAAGCAGTCATCTACGATGTGGACATGTATATAAATTCTTGCTCAGCTTAAAATTCTGCGTTGATTTAGATAGGGTTCGTCCGTTCGTCCGATAGCACGATAATTAAAAAACAAATAAAGCAAATACGACCAAACTTTCACAAGTTGCTTCTTTAGTGCCAAGGACGGACCCTATTGTTCTTAAATCAATTCGACCAAAGGATTCGGGCAGCTGTCATGCAACTCAAAGAGTAAACTCTTTACATATTTCAAGAACTAATAAAATTATAAATATGAAATTTGTATTCGTGTGTACCATTACATTTTAGAGGTTCTAAAAATTTCAATTGAATGATTTCACTGCTTCGGGTAGCTGCCATACAACTTTAAAAACATAAGAGAGTTGGACTCTTGAGATTTGGCAGTCATGTATCCAATTATAGATAAGACATATCCGTAAAGTTTTGGTGGAATGGTCTGACAGGTTCGAGTAACTACCACACAACCGTAAAAACTCATTCTAAATATTTCAATAACAAGTTTTTATACTCAGATTGCCAAGGTTCAGTGTATTATTCAGACGGTTCAGATCAACTGAAACGTTTCTACTTGTTATTTTAAAATTTGTTCTGAATTTTAGTTCACTATATTTTTTGTAGTTCTGTTGACGTGTAGTTCCAAATACATAAGATCTGAATTGGTGAGTCAACCTTTTTTTCTTATTACACTACTACGCCACCTATAGTACAAAGCAAAAATTGAAATGTTTGCGATATTTTTTTAATTCAAAATAATTTATTTTTTTCAATACAAAGAAAGAATCCCAAATTTCCTATTCTGAGAATAATTTTGAGAAATCTTTGGGATTTTTAAAATATTTAAGTTCTCGACAAAATTAAGTCTTAAATTATCAAGCTCAGTATTTAAAATTTCGTTAAATAATCGGTTTCGTATGAAATCGTTTTCATATTTAATTTCGTTTTGTTTCTAATTTTCGATTGGTAGTTGAAATAGGGTTTTATTTATACTATAAATGAAACCTGAAAATATAATAGTTTATATTTAAAGACAGTTTCTTAAAAGTTTTCTATTCAAGAAACTAAAAAATTTATTTATGCCTTTTAATTCATTCTTTTATTTCTTCACAGCAAAAAATAGCAAATGAAAAAAGTAAGGAAAAAATTTATGTGAACATCTTGCAAAAATTTTGTTTTGTTTTTCATGAAAAAAAGTCTTTTAACTAAAAGTAAAGTCAACTGAATAAAAAAAAAAATCTAAGTAGAAATTTACACGATCATCGTGCATTTAGTCTTCACAGTGACGGTAACGTGTTAACATCGTTGTCTCATCTCCTTCTTGTTTTTCTTTTTTAGTAGAAAAAGTACATTAATAACGGCTACGAGTATTAAGGAAAATTTTAGAATTTTATATTGCTTGGGCTACCTATATACTACTATTATTAAAACTATTTTTCTTAATTGCTGTACAAGTTATAAAATTACATAAAAGGAAATCTAATACAATTTTTATATTGTTGTGAAAAAATTCCAGGAAACGTTCAAATTTAGATTTGGATCTAAATTAAATTTTTACATACAATACAAATTTAAGAAAAAGTAGAACAAAACAATATTTTTTAAATTTCGGGAAATTCTTACACCTAATATAAATATAGTAAGTATAAAATTATAATTTAACAAATATAAAAACAATCTTATAGTTTCTCCAGATTCTTTGTTAATACCAAGTTTTTGTTCTATATAAATTCAATACTATACAATATAACACTTTTATATCATTCAATAGAGTATATACATGGGAACAAGTTTTTCTATGTAGGCATATTCTAGGTTAATGTTACAAATTGCACCTGTCTAACAAGTGTTTATGTTATATGTAGAACAAAAACGAATGATAATTTAGTTGTAGTGTATAAGAAATTTGAAAAAGTTTATGAATATTATTTAACGAAATTGATTTCGATATATAAAGTATCGTTTAACATATATTAAAAGACTTGTATAATATTTTAGAGTTCAATTTTTATTAAAACTAAAAAGAAGACTATTTACTCATTTAGCTATGATGGTAAACGCTAAAAAAAAAAAACAAAATTAGAATTAAGAGTATGATACTAAAAAACTCGATTATTTCAGTTGAAGGTGAAATTTTTGATAATAGATATTATTCTAATTATAGTTTTGCATCTTTAAAATATTAGATCGAGTTGCGATTTTTAATTTAATATCAGCTTAATTTTTTATAATCTTTAAAAGTTTAAAATACATTTGCTTTAGGATTAAATATTTTACAATTACGTAATATTTGGATATTACTATACTTAATTTGTATATATATATATGTACTTATATGTATCTATAAGGTAGGCTTGTCACCTACCTAGTAAACTCAATAATGCAAGAAACTGGTTCATGATTCAACGATGTTATACACCAGCCTTATGCTCTTGCAATAGCAGCGATGTAGGATAAAAAACATTACTTATATGCATATCAAAATTTTTAAGAAAATTAAAGATTAAATGAAAAAATTGAATGAATTTTCTAAAATGAATTTTATTTGTTCTTCTTCCAAGTAAACTTAACTTTAACTCTAAGATAATTTTACTAGATTTGAAATTTTGTACATTTCACTGAAAGTAAAATATTATGCTGCAAAAGATAATTTCATTTAAATTAATAGAAACATTTAAGTTGGCTTAGAATTTTGATATATTTTAAAAGAAAAAAATATGTTGTGACCTCATTCTTAAAGTGTTGCATAAGATTATAAAATTTTTTTCGAATTTTAAAAAAGATCAAAATTAGATTTTATTAATGTTATCTATTAAATTTTTAAATTTGGTTAAACAGTGGAGGTTTATTTTCTGTAATCACTGCAGAGTCTCTCAGTTAACAACCAGAAATTTTAAGACAGTCTCTAAATTCCTTCTTGGGTTATGGTTGAATATGTGAAATCTGAACAGTAAAAGTTCTGTTTCCGAGCCTCGATATTTCTGAACGAAAATTTTGCTGGTTCTGTGTAGTGTGATAGTAGTGGTTTTAGTATTGAAAATGAAGGATGAGTTTTCTTGGTCACTTTTGTAAGTTCTGGAACTAATTCTTGACACTTTTGAAGCATATGTTATTTAATTCAATTAATTATTTGAAAATTGGTCATCTGAGAAATGTGCATATCATTCATAAAATCCCGATAAATTCTGCAACAAAAAAAAAAAATTTTAATTTTTCGTTTACATTTTTCGAATTTCGTTTAATTTTAAAGCAATTAAAGTTATTTATTAGAGAATTATAATAGCTTTGACTTAAAAATCTAAAACACTAACAATCAGCAAATTTGGTAATTACCGTTAAGTCTTTTGTATTACGAGTATGTTCAGATGATGAACAGGTAAAATATTTTTCGCAATATTTCATACACATCTGAACTTTTATTTTACTTTATGCTGTACACAGCAAGAAATTTTTTTTTTTTTTAATTTTTAAATACTTTAATAATAAAGATGCAAAAAGTATAAAACGTAATTTTATCCCGATATGGACTTATTGCTTCATAACATAACAAAGGCTGGAAAACCCTAAAAACAAAATTCAATTGTGTAATAATTGTGGAATTTCATACACGGTGGAAATTTTGTTCGTCTTCTTTAAATAATGTTGCAATTATATTTTAAATAGTTAAATAATATTGTTTAAATTGCTGCAGATTTTTGGTGTTGCATGTTGCTTTAAATAATAATCTCGAAACTCACAAACGCATTTCCAGCTTCAAAGTATTGTGTTGATAAAATGTAATTCTCAGATTTTGTTTAAACAATAGTTTGAAGACAGACTTGATTGGCAGAATTTTTTGATTAATTCCCGCAAGAGATGGTTCCTTCAGCCTATAGTCACATTTTCCAGCTTTTTTTCGTAATTCATTTAGATCGCAGTACTATTCAGATACGTACTTTGCAATAAATTTATTTTTAAAACGAAATGTGGTTTTTAGAGGACTCTTAATAATTTGTTGTAAACTGAGCTTAATAGTACATTTTTGAACTAAAACTAAAATAAAAATTGTTTATATAAATTAAGCACACAACTATTTAAAGCAAAATCTTAAAAACAAAATTTTATTTCGTAACTCTACAAAATCTAACAACCTTTAAAATTTCATTGCTTTTCAGACTTTTACTATTGGGTATATGAGCATAACTATAGAATTACATGCTTCTTTTAATAACATTTCTCAACCTACTTAATTTTTTATACCATAATGACAACGTTTTTTAGCATGATTTCCTCAATTTACACCAAATTCTTGCATATGCTATAATTTAATAAATTAATTCTATAATATGCTATAATTTATTATTTACAAAATAACTGAAGCATTTTCAACATTGACTCTGATAATAATCAAAAAATACACACAATGAGATTACATGAAAAGCGACTACAAGAAAAAAGCATTAATTTGAGTACGTTAATGCAGCTTTAAGTTTTCTCAAATGAAATATCGAAAATTTCTCTATTTCATTGCCAAAAAAAAAAGAAATAATAAAAAGAATAAGAAAAATATAGGAAAAAAGAAAAAAACAAAACAGTAAAAACACTCAACTTTTCAAACTTTTTATTTCCAAATGGTTAAACTCACTGTAAGTTGAGGATCGGATTGAAATTGTTTAATAATGCCTTTTAATGAAAACTATAAATGAAAATCATATTTCGGAATTTAATATTGAACTTTGCTTTTTCTATTGGAAACACTTAATTGCATAGATGAAACTACTTAATACAAAAGGAAGCTTTACAGATTTTATAATTTTAAGGTTGATTAAGGCCATCTCTTTGATGAGCCACATTTTGCTTGAGAATCATGAGAGAAAAAAAGGGTTTTCCAAACATTATCAATTCTATTTAGGTTTATCGAATTTGGCGGCCAAATTTTTCCACATATATTGTTGGTAATGTATAATTATTGAAGTTTCATTAAGTTATTAAACTATTAAGAACTAAATGAACTTGCAAATTTATTCGTAAATATAACAGAATTCACAGATTTTTGAGGCTTCCAGAAAAAATATCATTTGAATTTTTAAATAAATTAATTTAATAATACCTTGTTCCCCCTTTTTAAATTAAATTTAAAACTAAACAAAGATCTCTTTTCAATTATTTTTCTAGATATGAGGTATTTTAGTACACTTAATTAAAACATAACTGACTATTCTTTCGGATATAAAGCAATTATGTAATGGGAAACATTTACAAGCTATAATGAGAGAATGGAAATTCTTTTTCAATGTTCAAATTTTACTTCAATTGTTGATAAATTTACGGCCTCTTAATTCAGGTATTATTATGTAACCATAATTCCTACTTTATATAAACTTTTTAAATGGTTTTCTTAGCACTTTTGAATACGGTTCTCGGGTATCCGTCAGAATGCATCCATGAAAATTCTATACATCTTTGTCAATTATCATTTCAATGTTGGCTTCAAGGTGGACGGCATGCAAATGGATGCGGTGGTAATAAATGGTTATTTTCTTGTTGTGTTAAAGATTCTGACAAATTTCAAACTTCTGCAACCACAACTAATATTATTAAACAGAAACGTAATAAAAAAATTGCTCTTTTGCCTAAAAGGATAATGATGAAACGCCGCGATGAAGACAATAATATTTTTAAACAGGTAATTTTAAAGTAACAAAATTAATTTATAATTGATAAGTTGAATCAAATAGTAACAAATGCTTTCTTATATTATAGTCTGAGTGTGGAATACCTAATACTTTTCAAAATACTTTACAAAAACGAATAATTGGAGGAAGACCTGCACGTTTTGCTGAATATCCATGGCAAGTGCATATTCGCATTTCTGAATATCAATGTGGTGGTGTATTAGTTTCAACAAGGCCAGCATTTATTGCAACGGCAGCTCACTGTATTCAACAGGCTGATTTAGATGATATTGTTGTTTATCTCGGCGAATTAGACACACAAAATTCTGGTTTCATTACTGAGCCCATTCCTTCCGAAAAACATAGAGTTACCCATAAATTTGTTCATCCGAAATTTAAATTTCGTATAACCCAACCTGATCGTTACGACATCGCTCTATTAAAATTAGCTAAATCTACTGGATATTCGTAATTTTGTTCTAATTTTTTTTTCTTTATATTCAAGTATTTGAGAAATAAATTTATCTTGTTTTGTAGATCCCATATACTACCAATATGTTTGCCAATTAAACCAATAGAAATAATTGGTAAGAAAGGTTTAATTGCCGGATGGGGTAAAACTGCGGCACAAATGGGTCATACTGGTACAAATATATTACAAGCAGCAACAGTGCCAATCATAAGTATTATTTTAATAATTAAAAGATCGATAATCATTAAAATATTAATTCTGATAATTTAAAATGATCAGGCACTAGTGATTGCCTTCGATGGCATAGAAAAAAATCAATACGGGTTGAACTATTCAATGAAATGTTTTGCGCTGGTCATTCAGACGGTCATCAAGATGCATGTTTAGGTAATACATACTTATTTTTGATTATATACATTTTAATTATAAAAAAGTTTTTTGTAACATTAAAGATTGTAGGAGTCTCTCCTCTGCCTTTTCAATTATTTTTGCATGAATCAGTCCAATCAAATTCTAAATTTTTATAAATATTTGACTAAAAATCATTGCAAATATTATTAATTGAAAATATTCTCGAATCTGTTCTGTAATATTTCAAAGATTTAAGCCAATTTGAATTTTTAAAATCAATTCAAATGAGTTTATCTGAATTTTTAAAATATGAATTGCATATGCTTAAAAATTAATTTCCATTTCCTCTAACTAACAATTTACAATCCTTTTAGCATAAAAATTGAATTACCTTTTGAATAAAATTTTTTAAAGTTAACCATTAAATTTGTTAAATTGACTAATTTAAAATTTGTTAAATTAGTTGCTGCTACGAGTACATTTTTTTTGCATAACAAAAGAAACTCTTTTAACATGTAAAACGTAAATGATTTCAATTGCCCTTGGCGTATATGCAAATTTTTTGAAAATATCTTGAACCTAAAAGTATGCAAAAAAGTTGTAGTTAATATCTTGACGCATCACTATTACTTATTATGTTGTTACATACTCACAATCAAATATGAAGCTATGTAATGAAATGGTGTAACAAAAACGGTAAAATAAAATATCACAAATTATTTTAATCGCATACCCAATTTCTAATGTAATTGGTAATTCGAAAATATTATGTTAATTAATTCAAGTTTTAAATATTTTGGAATTTTCAAAGCAATCATGACTTAGCCATTTTGAAATTTATTATAAATGAAGAGTTTAATATTGTGTACTACCTTTTGCATTTATTCCAGATACACCTACTAACTAAACTGAAATTTTTATTATTTACTTAATTTTTAAATAATAGGAGATTCTGGTGGTCCATTAATAGTTAAAAATCATGGTCATTTTGTACTTGCCGGAATTACAAGCGCAGGATTTGGATGCGGTGTTGACCATCAACCAGGAATTTATCACAATGTTCAAAAGACTGCAAAATGGATACGAGATGTTATCAATCAAAATGGAGGAAACCTAAAAAATTAAATTTTTTCAACAATTTCGTATTTATTGGTATTTTAGGGTTAGAGAATCTGTTTGTAATTTTTGTATTTATTTTCATTTTAAAATTTCCACGGATCAAAAATTTTTATCACCAAAATTGTTTTAAGAAAAATGATATTTTAATAAAATTTTGAAAAAACGAATAATTTTTTCCAAAGTTCACAGAGAAAGTAAAATGTTAAATCCGTTATTGCAGTACATAATAGTGAATGAAAATTTAAACCTGCTATATCCTGATATTCTTGTAAAGGTGCAAACTACATAGATACTGCTTCAACTTTATCATTTTATGTTAATCACTAATTTATTAAAGCACTAATTTAGAATCATATTCTAATCTCAACTTAAGAAATTTATTTCCATAGAGGAAAATTTTTACCTAACTCGGTCCCTCTAAAAGTTATAGCCCTCCAAAATCTTGAAAATGCCATTTTTTAACATTTCATTGTAAAAAAAAACCAATTCATTGTAAGCATTTTTCAAATTTTGCGAATGCAGAAAAAATAGTGGCTGGCTTCTTCCATCGCGGCATACCGTATTATGACCGTTAAAATCTATCATTATTTAAAATCCGTTTTTCCCAAATTTTTGATATTGTTTTTCTTCTAGATCGTAGATGCCAAAACGAAACTAAAAAAAGTGCTAAAAACTTATTAAAAATTTTTTCAATAGAATTTATGCTTCATTTTTACTAGAGGCGGATTTAACATTTCAAATCATACGTAAGAAAATAATCAACCATTTGTTGAAATTTAGTATTTGAGATAGGGTTATAAAACTAGCTACTAAACATATTAAGAAAAACATAGCGAATTTTCTCAAAATTATAAATAAGTGGGCAAAAATTGAAAAAACAAATTTAAAAAATAAACAATGCGTTCGATTTTTTGTTGACCATATAACATTTTTTTAATGGAATGAAGCTTATTTTTATATTGCCTTTCACTTTTTATTATATAAAATAAAAAAAATTCCGAAAATGTCATATTTTTAATATTAACGTTTTATTATTTGAAACAATAATTAGCATAATTTGCGTGACCATCAAATTATGCTTCTCTCTCTCTATAATCGATTCATATGTGTACCAAGATATGCCTCTCCGCAAATATTAAATAATTTCGTTTTACATAATTCTTTCATATAAAAAAGAAAGAGAAAAAACAAATATAAAAGAAAATGTGAGAGTTTTTCTAAGCTAGTATAATATTTTTCTTACAACACAATCAATTGATTGAACTTACTAGCAAATAATTTGTTTTTACTTTTATATAATCAGATTCGAAAACTTAAGTATTATTATTATATAAAAAAGAAAGAGAAAACTGTAACAAAATATCATCTTAAATAGAAGCACTTTTCCTATTAGTTAAATGTTTCTGAGCAGGTGCTTGTGAAGTTTGGAAAATATTTTTAAAGCTTAAGGTTACATTGACGATTAAGCGAAGTATCAGAATAAGAATTATTTTCATGACTTTCTTGTAAAAAGACAAGAAAATTTTTGTTTTTGAAGAATTATGCAATGAATCAAATATCGCTATGTCAAAATATTTCGATATTTCTTCTTTATAGGCTATTGAATATTGGGACGTTAAATCTCCGTATGTTTTTTTAGAATTACAATTGTATATCAAAAAATATAATTAACGTTCTCTCCGTTTGTGGGTGTAGAATATTGCATCAGACAAATTTAGATTTGAATAAAATTAGCTCCGATCTATATCAGCCTTCAATTAACTGGTTTTAAAGCTTCCTTTTATTTTAATCAACTCGCATCACACTCATTTGACTAATATATCTTTCCGTCCACAAGGGTAAGATTTTACCCCATTTAAATATAAGTAAAACTGGCTCGGATGCAGATTCTGATCCGATTTTTAAACAAATAATGGTAATAATTAATGTTTAGAAAATAAATTTTAAGTTGTTCACAAAATTTCAATATTTATAATTATAATTATTTATTGTATATTACAATATAATGGTTGTTATAGATATTAGAGCAATCGAAGAAGACTATGTTTTAAAAAAATTCTTTTAATTTATTATCTTTGGGAAACGTGCTACTTTGTAAACCATTGGTTTGGTTTCAATTTATTTATTGTAGTGATAGTGGGCTTTAAATTTTCAAGAATAATTTTATATAATCAACTGTGCATGTATATAAATGTAAATATTATATAATGCACTTATTATTAGTATGAATCGAAAATTCCACATAAGAAAATATTTTTAACTATACAGTGTACATGTGATTAGATGAACAATTTTCAATTTATTACTTTCTTGCTAAATTTAATTTAACGGTACAATAAATAATTGATGAAAATTAAAAGAAAATATGGCGTTACAATACCGCAAGCTTATTACCATAAGGAATGATCATTACTTTCTTAACAACATAAAATGGAAATGATCACTACTTTATTTTGCAAAAAAAGTGAAAATTTTTTACGATAATAATTGCTTTACTTGCTCTTAGTTACAATTATTATGTAGGAAATGTTAAAATAACAAAAAGAGAAAAATGTTAACATACGGGTTGTGTAAATATATAAGTGTTAAGAAATAAACTATTTTTGTTCAAAGGTCAAAATTATTTCACTGTGAATTCAATTTTAATAATAATCTCATATACGCACTCATATACTCATATTCTTTTATATTAAAGTTTATCAAATAAAATCTGAGTATCAATCAAGAATAATGATTCTTACTAAGAGAAATAGGAATAAAAAACACTTGGATATGGATTTAAATATTAAAAAAATCTTATCTCTAATCATGAAAAATCTCAATTAAATATTAATTTTAGTCGTTGATTATAACGATCCAATTGAAGCTAGAGCTTGTTATGAACATATATTTGTTATGTGTAAATATTTTAAAAACTTTTAAACTGGTGTAAAGCTGAAAACGTACGAAACAAAACATACAAACCAAACAAAATAAACAGAGAAGCTTTCACTTTCTCTTTGATTGAACCAAAACAAAAGTGAATAAAGTAGGAAACTGAAATAACACCAACTGTACAGCAATGGTAAATTATAAAGGCATTGCGTATTTACGAACACAACATTATACATAGGTGGAAAAATGGAAATGAACGCAGAGAATTGGAAATATGCACAAAACAATTTTTTTTTTTTGCAAAAGCGATTAGGTAAATTATCTAGACATTTTTGTTTTTTATTTTTAAGCACAAAGTATTGTATGTATTACACAATGCATGTGTGTATGTGTAAATATTGAAAACACCGTTCCTGTCGCATAAAAACATAATTGTTTGTTAAAAAAATGTGATTTCAATTCTACTCTGACAACTGATGTTCATCTATACATTTCAGTGTATATAAAATGATTTTATAACAGTAATTTTTGTAATTGTTATTACATTTTACGTGGTCACTCTTTTTTACTGTTTTTATATTCTGCGTGATTGTGGTTTCAATGGCATTTTAATAGATTTGAAATCAATGACTCATAAATGAATCAGTTGGTCCTATGCTATATGCAATGTTGTGATGCATGTATATTTCCCTGAATTACTTGATTAACATAACTCGTTTGTAGGATAGTTAAAAACACAAATATGTGTATGTCAAGGTTTGTATGTATTATATTTTATTGTTACTGTTATCACATAACATTAAATAAGTTTTTGTATTTGTCATGTTGAAAAGAAAAAGCAAAAAATAAAAAATAATATTTCGCACTTATCATGTGCCTTTTGAAGTTAAATTTTATTATGAAACCAAACTGTGCTTCGATCTAAATTGATATTATTAATCGTTTTGGTATATGAATGCATATTAATCTTCCTACATATTATAGTTTAAGGTATGTACATAAATGTACCTATTAAATACCTATTGATTCGTATTGTATAAACATTTTATTTGGAACAAATATTACGCGATTGTTTTTGAAAAGTTTCCAATTCTAAATAAAATCATCGATTATAACGAAATTTAATTAATAAAATTGTTATTTATTAGGTTCGTTTTGTTACCTTCCTTATTAATTAATAAATCATTTTATTAAAGAAGTATATAGGCATTAAATGAAACGAATATCACGCTAATTGGAATTTTTTTTCTGCGTAAACAGCAAATTTTCATAATTTTACATATACGTATTTGTTAATCTTTAATATATTGAGGAATTGGATGCGTTTTTCTGAATACGAGTATAAGAATTTTATTATAAGAGAATATTTCCAATTAATTAATTATTTTCAACTTAATGAAGCCGAATCGAATGTTTTTAAAACTGTTTTTTTACTGTTTAAAATAATGTTACGATATTAACTGAATTTTTTATATAATTTTTAATAGAGTTTGCATATAATGTTGGGTATTGGAAAATGCCTAAAGACCATATTGTTTTCCTTTTATTTTGTAAGATGAACAAGCAGATAATGTAGCTAAAATGAGTTTTAATATGTTTTGCTTTAAAGGCATAGATACAAACATCCATTATTTTATATTAAATAATTTTTTAATTATATAAAATTAAAAAGAGCAATTATAAATAACACTTGGATAATGGCAAACAATTAATTCAGTAAAATATAAGCGCATACTTTTCGATAAGGGGACGATTACAAATACATTTTTGCTCTAATATTAATTTGAAAGATTTTATAGTTCGAAGAAATAAAAAGCCGAACAGTAGAATAAAGTATTTATCATTCTCTGCAAATTGTTAAAAGTAGGTACAAATCCAAGTTTTGAAAAAACCCGGCTTGAAATAAAGATTCCGTAAACAAATATTTGTTTACAGTTCCTTATGAAAGAAAAATAATTTCTGAATTTTCTATGTATATAGAATTTACAAATGGCGTTGGGTTAAGGTATACTGCTTTTACCGCTTTGGGATGCTTTAGCTTGAAGGAGAGAAAAAATACCAAAAAACTTGTTGTAGAGAAGTAATATCATCCCTGAAATTTTTTTCTGCACAAAATTTTACCTTTATAGTTGAGAAGTCTCGCAAGCAGACGTACAAACGGACGAAATGATAAAGGGCAGATACGTTAGATAGCGAAATTAATGGGAACATTTCTTACGAGCAGGTGTGGAAAATTATTATGTATTATATTCTTAATTAATTAAATCTTCAATCATTATAATTTTCAAATAAAATGGTTGGGAAACGATTTTGGAATTTGGTAATAAATTATAAATTTATTTTAAATAAATGGTGTAATTTAATATGCCAATTTAACGATTTTTAATGCATTGTTTTGTACAGTTTTGTTATATGCACGTGCGTGCTAAGCATGATTGTATACGTGTTAAGTACTAAATATATTTATCTTCTTCTTTTTTTTATATATATCAGCCTAATTAAAATCTCCAATGCTAGCAGAGGAAATAACGAGCAAAGATTAAATATTATTTTATGTACCTGTACATATTATGATATCGTATTCGTATCGTATAAAATATCTGCACAACTTATTAACTTAAATAACCGAAATGGTTCTGCGTTAATGGCATACATTTATATTTACATTATGTTAGAATCAGATTAGAAAAAAATATATTTTGCGATGTGAATACGTGTAGTAATTAACACTGAATTCGTTTGCATTGATTCAATTTTTAAACATTCTGTAAATAAAATAATAAAAAACAATAACTTTTAGGGTGAAGGAAATAAGTAATTAGAGGAAACCCTTTTCTAATTTTTTCTTATTTTCGTTTTAATGACGTACAAAGGGACACATAGTTGGGTGGAAGGACAGAGTAAAAGTATAACTAAATTTTTTTTTTTAATTCTGGAACTTTTTAAAATTTCAAAAAATATTGATCCTTTTCCTTGTTTATAGTTTTCTGATATTTGCTGCAGAAGCATTAAGTATCTATAGTGACATAATAGAGAAGAGATTATTTTATGTGAACAGCGGCATTTTGTGATCCATCAATTTCATTGATTTTGATTTCTTATAAAATAGAGCCAAGTAGGTAATCGAAAAAATTTAAACAAAATTTTTAAAATTAAGCTTTTCAATGCACTTGACATTGGAAATTTTTTTTTTGCATATTTTTAAATTACAATCAAATATCCAAAACTTGTTCAATTCATTTATAATTGTAACGACAGCAATAAACACAAAAGTTGCACTCAGTCATTTAAAAAATTTCTTGTTTGTAAAATTTTATTTTGAATTTTTAAATATTTTGCTGTTGCTGTTTTTCTTTAAATTCAGAAAAAATATTTATGTACTCGTATATAAGATGTATGTGTGTTCATCATGTGTTTTAAGCTTATAAAAGTTTTCGATGCAAAATCACCACGTATAAAAATTAAATAAAAATCAAAGTCTCTTCATATTGTATTTGTGTAAAATTTTAATTGAAAGAGCTAGTAAATTTGGTTTTCCATTTGTAATGATAAAGCTCAGTCTAACTATCAAAAAGAGATTGTATGAAAAGCAACATTTGTGCCAAATTTATTTTAATTTTCATTATGCTTTTTGGGCAACTTAGTAATATGCCTGCGTTTTAGTCCTCACTGAGAGGTTAGATTAAAATAGAGACTAAAACAGTGCTTTTATAAATAATATATGTATATAAGCAATGTCCACTCTATTCTCTTGTAGTGTAATATTTAAACTCAGAGTGTTGAATTATTTCATCGACGAATTTTTTCACAATGCCATCATTTCATTGTGTTTGAACTAATTAATGGCATTTTTTCGAGTATAATACTTGTTGCTCTGAAACTAAATACCAAATACTTTTATGAAATTTTGTTTCGTACAACTGATAGATTGAGATAAGCAAAAAACCTTTAAAAGTGTTCTGACTTCAATCGTTCAATTATAATATTTCAAAAGTATTGAAATTTTGTATAACTTCTATTGTGACTTATAACTGTAGGCGCTTACATATATTCCAAGAGAAAACTGATATTTTTAATATGAAATGTGTGAGTACCCTAATATTTTACTTTTTTACCTACAACATTTTTTTCCAGTTATTTATTTAATATTAAATTTTCTTAATCCAATGCACATGTATATGTACATTGTACACATAGTGAGTTATATTGCTGTACATACGTAACTATTTGTAAAGTCGCAAGTTATTATTGTTATTGTTTTTTAACACATAATACGAAAATGATTTTTTTTTTATTTTTGAAAATTTTTTATACTTTCCAATCATTTGGGTGTAATGCACGCCGTGTATTTCTTGTAGTTTTATTGTGTTTTTATCGGCGTGTTGTTTTTTTATTGTTTGTTTCATTTTGGTTTTTCGACATTTCTTTTAAATGCGATGACTTTGATATCAGTTGAATTTTGTATTTTGGTCAAAAATTAACAATTAATCGGATCATTGCTTGTTTATAAATCGTATAGAGTTTTCGTGATATCGGCGTTCGTAAGGAAATTTTTAATTAATCAAACAAAATAAGTATGCACTCTAAGTTACACAATGTGTTTAGAGACCTAATATAACAAAAATTGTTATTATCTTTGCAAAATCAAAAATAAAATTTATCTTGAAATTTTAAAGTGCTAAAGAAGATATCAACATAGGAAATTTTATGGGGTAACTCCATAAATAAAAATCTAAACATGAAAGAATTATGTTGCAAATAAATAAGGTGAAAATTATTTTATTTCTCCCTTAAAAAAATCATTAATTAGAAAATTTCTAATTTATTTGATTGTTACTTTTTATTTATTGCAAGTTGTAATTTTTTGACTCAATTAAAAGAAAGTGAAATTCCAAAAAAAAAAAAAAGAAAAAAATTGTGATATGGAATTAACGTTAAAAGGAAATTATTTACTACATTTATGACCTTTTGAAATTTCTTATAAAAACTAAATTGTGCGGTTCAGCACTCCAATGATAAACAAAAAATTTTTTCATATTGAAAACAGGTGAAATAAAAGCGAAATTTTAAATATTTAAAAAATAAAAAATAAAGTTAAAATTTTGTATAAATCGTTATCCTGTTAATTATTCAAATAAAATAACAATAAAAACTGCAATAATATTTATTAAAAGACGTTAACAAAGGAAAACCAAAAACAGTTCAAAAACCGGATCGACTTTTCCCCTCTTTAATTTGATATCATATTGTGAAATATTTACTGCATAACATCGGAGGCAGGAATATTAAAAAAGAGAGAAATGTGTCTAATGAATTTCAATTTAGTATTAATTTTAAATATTATAAAATTATTACTTATTAATAATTTCGTGATGTTAAGCGATTGTACAAAAACTAGTAGTTATAATTCTGTATATAATAATGTAATACCAGATAATTTAAAAAATTTAATATCGAAATCATTACCAAAGGAATCAAAATTTTTTGATGAATTAGATTGTAAGTATTAAACATGAATAATAAATTTTCTAATTTTAAAATCTCATTTCATCCCAATGAAATAAAATAACAAGCTTAAATTAATAAATCCTTAGATCTTAATCTATTGCGTGTGAATTTTTCAATATTATCGTATTGGAGAAAAAATGTAAAAATAAAGAAATGTTGTTAACTTCGCAATTGTTCCGTTATTTTACGTCTTTCTGCTTACGCTCTAAGAGAAAAAGCGACTTCCACCTACCCTTCTAACAAACATCCTTTCAAAAGACAAGGAAGGAAATTAAAAATTTGATATTGTGCTTGTGTTGTGATAATCAGCACAACTGATACATAATTATTTATGATTACGGATGTCGTGCTTTAACGCGAAGTTGGATCTTTTAAACGTTGAGTTATTCTCTTGAAATGCATCAACTATGCTCTTTTATATAAGGTAAATTTTCATAGGAAATTTCAAATTCGGAATTACAGTGGTCTTTTCTAGGAAAAGTATTTTTTCATTTTGTACAATTTCCAAGAAATTTTAAAATTTCGATTTTTAAAAAGAAATTGTATAAAATTGAATTAGTTGCCTGTAAATCATTTTTTAAGGGGCAAGGATATAAAGAAGAAAGTGATGCAAGAAAGTGATTACAAGAAGAGGTACAAAGAAATTTTGTTCTAATAGAATGTTTATTATGTTGAAATCTGCTATACCTTCCTATGATAGAAGAAATAATTTCTGATTTTTCTGCCTTTACCAAATTTGAAAAGTTACTTTTTAATTGACTATATGTATATGGTAAAAGTACTCTATGACTAATTCGCCAACATTTTGTCACTTTTTTATTAAATTTTATAAATAAAATGAATAAATTTGATAAAGCACGCGTGTGTTTCATTTGGTATAAAAATATACATTTAATGCGTTACACAGCCATTTTAATGGATATTAATAAAATTACCGTAATAGTTATGTTGAATATGATGGTACTAGCGATAAATCGTGACTTCAATAATGCTTTGTAATAATTTTAAGTACGGTATTAATACGATTAAGCTACCGCCTCAGAGCTTTCAATACCTTTGTATTGTAAAGAAAACCGCTAAAACTTTTGATTTTTGGAATACAATTTTTACAATATTAGTACATACTTGGACGTTTGTTTGAAAATTTCAAGGTAAAGTTCTGTGCAAATGTTAATTTTCATTAAATGTTACCACATCATTAAAAACATAGCACTTTTATTCTGCATTTTAGGAATAAAACTTAATTGGTTATTTCTGGTATAAGAAAAGCGTGCTCGATTTTTTCGATACCCAATTCACTTTTATTTTACGTATCCACTACGTATAGAACGCATTTAGGAAAAGTGTACAATGTAAAAGCTTTCACTGAACTTTTTGGAATGTGATACTTTGTAAAGTTTACGTTGAAAGTGTATTATTGAAATCACGGTTTCTGTCACAATAATGCGACAACGTTATTATTTTTTTTCTGAGATCTACTTTTACCAAATACTCATGTACAGTTCAGAAATGGTCGATATCAAGTGTATAACTGAAAATTAATTAATGAAAGAGTTTATTTAACAAGATTAAACGAAACCCTGTTCTTGATCAATAATTGATCACATTATTAATCAAAACCCAAATTTCAGAATCGTAATTTTACAGGATGCTTAGAATACATAAGTATAGTAGATTATAATACTAGCTTGCACACTTAGTGCAGCTTTGTTTACATAATATATACTGCCCATATTTTTATAAAATTCATCCTTAAACATATGCAATAATAAGCAATTAAACCTATTACGTTTACCAGTTTAGCTAAATCTATTCGATTTCACATAATCAAATGATTTGGAAGAATAATTGTGTGCTGAATTGTAGCTTTTCAATTTTGTACAACTCATACAACCCATACGAATGAATAATCAGGAATGAATAAATTAGGAGAACCGATTGTAAATTTGACGATTGAGTTAAATTTGATCACTTGAGTTAAGTTTGATCATGGAGAAGTGCATCGAAACGCACTTCTCCATGATAGAGTGCGTTTCGATGCACTTCTCCATGATAGAGAAGCATAAATAAACTAAACTATTTTTAAGGAAATGTCGGTTCGTCTGTCTGTATGTGAACGCATGTATCTCTAGTTCGGTTGAACCGATTTTTATGAAATATTATATGTTACTTTATTTCGGCTATTTCACGGATTGGTCAACTTTTGAAATATGGCTTCGTGAACTGGACCTTTTCGCGTGCCAGTAATGAAAAATAATCAATCAATTTCCTTTAAATTTAATATTCAGGGAATTCGAATGCACAAAAAGAAACTCTACTTAGAGCCAAATTTACATTTTTCTAGGTATATTAACTAAAAGCTTGCCTTTAAATTAGAAAGAAGTGTTTAAAAGGAATGTTCATAATCTTCTGTAACACTTTCGCTAAACTAGACAAATGAGTTTCTTTTTTATAATGAAACTATTCTGCAATTTTTCTAGCAGCTTGTATAAGAATTCATATAATCACAATTTATTGGGCTTTAAATGTGGTGCTGCTATTATTAAATTTATATAAACATTAAACCTGGCTTAATTTAGTTTCAAATTGCAGATAGATCTTGGTGAGCTATTATAAATGCATAAGCAGGAAACTGACAACCACCTTAGAAAATACTTCCAGATAATGTAAACCTGCAAGTACAGTAATTAGTTAAGAATTCTTTTTGAACACAATTTGTAATTTAGCAAAGAATTTTAGGAAAACAAATTTATGTTTCTAGTTTCCTTGTATGTATGAAGCAAAATGCATAAAAATTATATCTAGTCAAACTTATGAAATTGCGCCTATCACTTTTGTTATTTTGCTTCAAATAAAGTAATTAAAATTATGACTTGTCCAATTCATAAATCTTTTCTTGTATCAGAATGCCTACAACTATAAATTTACATAGTTTTACTTCTTGTATTTCCATAACAGTTTTCTATTTTTTATTGTACTTACTGAAATAATTGAATTTTGGGAATTTACGGCATCATAACAGAAATCTTTTACTTAGATTGTGTAATATAACATACCTATATCGCGAAAAATTAGGTTATTTTGTTGCTCTTCTTTAGTAATAATTAATATGAATTATTAAGTTAAAGTAAGTAATTATAAATGGGGTAAATGTAACACAAAACAATATAAAAGAGCAATTACAGAGGAAACAAAGTACAAAGATGTATGCAAAGGAAGTTTTTATATTTATCTGCGATGTAAAACTCAAAATTCAAGTTGGGAAAAAAATATAGCGTAAAAATAGTACCGTCAATTAAGTTGGCAAAAATGTTATTTTCAGGTGATAAAATATAAAATTATTTGAAAACGTAATATGAAGTTTCTTGCACATATTCATTCAACAGCAATTTTGTTTGAGTTGCTTTTGTCTTTTTCTAACTTCAAAAAATTTTATGTTTTGATCGGGGTAAAGGTTGAGTTTACTGGTATTAAAATATGTAGTGCAAAATATCACGAACTTACGATAAAGTGAAAATAATCATTTATTGCCAAGATATAGTAACAATGGTGCTAGTCTAACCCTACAATCGTATGTCACACGCGTTTAATTTATCGGTACAGTAGACCCTCTGCATCAAGCTGATTTTACTTTTGCATTTTTTTCATCTTTTCATTTTCCAAAATTATTAAATCTTTTAAGGAACACAGTTTATATTACACATTTTTACAGTTAGAGCTTCAAAAAGATGAAAAATTAGGAGAGACAAACATTTTATATGCTTTTTCCAATTTGTTTTGCAATTTAAAGAAAATTTTTAATTGTTTCTCAACAATATTTTTATAAAGCATCAATGCACCGTACTTCTTTGTTTTCTTAAATATCAAGATAGTTTTAATGTTTTAATTTCACAATTATTAAGAGTTTGAAAAATAAAAGATGTGAACATTAACCTTGATGATGAAAAATATACATAAATCTTTGTTGTTGTTATTGTTGTTTGTATTTTCTAGTACAAATAAAGATTAAACTTTAAAATTGCTGAATTATTTGTTTGAAATTTCTTTGCAAAAGTATGTGGTACAAGCGCTCCGCTCACACTTTTTAATATTTGCAAGAAAATTAAGAAAGAAAATCGGTTGTTTACTTATCATATTTAATAATCATGTACATACATACATATAATATGTATGTACATATAATAATATTTGTGAAGCTTGATTTCACTTTAGTTGGGCACAAACATTTTGCAAGTTTTAATAATTTGTTTTTAATAATTTTTATTTAACAATTTAATCTGAATTCACAAATTAATATTGGTCGGACATCTAGAGAAAGGTTTTAATAACAGAATACAAGAGAAATATAGAACGAAAAAATAAACTATGCACTCTTAACACCAATGCTCTGATATTTATTTTTCTTATATGAGCAACGAAGTCATCGTTTTAAATAAAAGTATTTCAGTAGCCACTGTAAATAAAGGAATGCTATGTTCAAGTTAAAAATAAAGTTATCACGGTTACTATTTTAGTATTCTTCATGTTACATAAAGGGTGTTTTTTTTCGAAATATAGGTATTTTAAATTGGAAAATTGGGTCATAAATATTTGTCAAAAAAAAGTTAAGATTAGATGAAATAATGTTACATCAAACAAAAGGTTTTTAAAGTAGCACTTTTCCCTTTACCAAATGAAAATATTGCTGTTATAAACGATTTATTACATTGTTGAAATTACTTTCATTCTTATGTCAAAATATTTCGAATGATTGCTACATTTGATGTAGAGGCATTAACATAATAGTCGAAGTCAAAGGCTTATTGTGTAAATTAAGATAAATAATTAGATATTACCTTCGAAAGAGCTTGTAGTTTCGGAAATTAAAGCTTATAACGGAGCATGGAAACGGAGCTTGTAGTTCTGAAAATGCAAATTTTACAAACTTTGAGAGGCAATAACTTAAGAGGAAATGCACTTTTTTTTTAATACAGCTGTAAAAAATAATCAAA